GCGCGAGCTTAGCCTGTGGTTTTAAATAGAAAAATCTTGGATTTTCTGAATTAAATAAATCTTGAAAAATCAATTGTACTTTAAAAATTCATAACTAATTAAGGAAATATCACAAAAATGCAAAGTAAATTTCACTGAACTCGGCAATACACAGTGAATTAAGGAAAAATACAACCAAGGTAAAATGATTCATAATTAATTTAGAGACTAATTATAACCATTAAATCATAAAAAATCATTAAATTTTAAATATAAATAAAAATTAATTAAAAAAATGAATATGTGAATCCTCTTAACTATAGGAACTTCTCGTAGTTTTCCTAAGGTCAGATACCACCATTCGACCTAAAAATTATAATTTTCTAAGAAAATAACATTAACTGACAAAATAAAAATTAAAATTAAAATTAAAATACAAATAAAAAAAAGAAACCAATGGGAAATTAAATAGGATAATTAAAACAATAAGCCTATGAATTAAAATCATTGTTTCATTCCCTGAAATTCAAATATCACTTAAAATTCAAGTGTGGGTATATTTATAAATTAGGAATTTACACTTTTAACCCTTTACCTCACCTCCAAACCTTAATCAAATCAGAGAATTACATCTTCAAATTTTAATAACTTAACCCACCAATTTAATGAAATGAAGTGATCAATGTGAAACCTTGCTTAAAAACCAAAATCACACATAAAGATAAAATTGTAATTATGCAAAATGTAGAAAATCAGACCTTATGAAATGTTGACAACCCTAATTAATGACAAATGATCAACTTAACATTTAAACACTTCAAAAAGAATTTAGTAAATTTAACAAGTCAAATCATCACCAAAATTTAGTAAAATTGAAAAATCACAAATTCAACCTTAAAAGCTATTTGAACACTTTGAAACTTTAAATTCTTTAAAACTTAATTTTAATTCATTAATAACGTATGAAACAATCAAGATATAGTAGAGTCCATAATTAAAAAGGGTAGGAAATGTCACATTTATAACCTTCCCAAAATTACAAATATGTCTCTCCCCTTTCCCAAACTTTTAATTTGAACACATAGGGATTAAAACCTATAAAATTTGCACTTAAAAAAATTACTAACCAATAAAACAACAAAAATATAATAAAACTTTATTGATTTAAAAGTGAGTAAAGGCACATTTGTAACTTTCCCGAAATTATAAATATGCCTTAATGGCTTTCCAACCCTTAAGGTAAATCTCACAAACTTAAAATTTGATAAACTTGACTTGAAGCTATTAATGAACAATCAAACATTAAAATCCAAAAGTATTTAATGGTGAACTTGGGATTGTTGTTACTTTCCCTTGAAATTACAAATACATCATTATCACTCCCAAACCAAACAAGTCAATAAAATTGGAAATGTTAACTCATCACTTCAAATTACTCACCAATAAATATTAAAACATAATAAACAATTTTCACCCCAAAACGAAGCGGCTTGAGTCAAAATTACCAAATTTACAAATATACCCCTTTGGCCAAAAACGAATAACTTTCTCAAGTAGATTCCAAATCAAATAAAGCATTCACCAATGAGCCAAACATACAAAAAAGAACCATAATATACAAAAAAACAAATCAATTAAATAAAATTTAAATAAACAAATCATTAAACCAAAATGAAAAATCCAATAAAATATGTAAGCCATTAAAGTAAAACTTTAATTAAATAAACAAACTAAGATTGTGAGCGATCCTTGAATGAGGTAACTCAAAGCTGATAACAATGAATCATCTGGTTATTCTTAACTAAGTAGATTAAAAATACTAATGACCCTGAAATGATAGAATCATAGGATCATGACCAGGGTCATCATAAAATCAAATTAAAAGACAATCTTATTAAAAAAATAAGAAAATTGACAAAACTCATAAAATCTAAAAGACAACAAAACTTAAAGTAAACCCATAATGAACAAACAAAACAAAATGCAACTTGAACAATAATTTACCCCAGATCTATAAAGAGTTCTTGGATGACACAACACATGGTTCCTTACAAGAATCTTCAAGTCTGATTGGGCTAGCTACCTCTTCTAACTAAGTAGATCGCAGATTGCGACAACTCGGGGCAATGGAAAGTCATGGGCATCTTGACCGCGTTTTGTCTCCATTTTCTCCATTTTAATTTCAATTAAATTTCAATGTCATTGGATTAGAAAGGTAAGGTTGTTTTATTGTGTTTGTGTTTGTTTGCCTGCTAGACATCTATTAGGATGAGTAAATAGTCTTTATTTCCGGCATAGATTTTCTTTACATATTTCTATGTTATCATAGGAAGCTTGGGATGTGCTAAATTTATTTTGTAGGATTATTTTAGTAAACTTAGATTTTCATAATAATATAGGTTTCCTTTATTGCTGCGTCTTTTTTTAGTAAGGGTGTCTGTCATGGTTGGTCAATTGTTAGCATTTGAACTACTCAAGAGAAGATGAGCATAAGTGAAGAATGAGAGTTTGTTTGGGGCAGCTGCAGCTTATTCAGATAAGTTGTTTATCCTGACAATCTGCTAATCCTGATAATCTATTGATCAGCAGCTGATCCGGATAATTTGTCTGTCTGTTTGGTTTGTGCGTTTGAAAAACAGCTGATTCTAGATAAATGATCATTTTGCCATTGTTTTGGATAAACTGTTTAGCTGTTTGGTTTGTGCGTTTGGAAAAACAGTTAATTTGTAGATTTTTGCAGATTTTTATTGTATGAACAAACAGATTCAAAAAAACCTTACATGAATTTTGATAGGGTTAAATCCTCCCCACCACTAGCGGTGTAAACGAGCCGAACTCGAGCGAGCCCAAGCTTAGCTCTTGTTCGGCTCGTTTATATTTCGAGCTCAAAAAGTGTGTTCGTGTTCGGCTCATTTACTTAGCGAGCCGAATACGAGTTGTTCACGAACAATTAGTCTTTTTGAAAACCCTAATCATAGAGCTTCAAGCATCTCT